GCCTACACAGTCAGAAATCTTAATCCAGGCACTGGGTATGGCAAGCAGGAACAGCCAGCTGTACTTCGAAATTGTGTATTCCTCAGTGGTGAGCTGAAACTCCTGAGACCCCAAAGTTTCTGACCTAGCTAGCAGGGAATGGAAGGCAGGCGATGATAGTGCAGGGATCCGAAGAGTAGGAAGCCTGATTAAAGTTTCTGTGATTAAACTGTTGCTTTTAGGGTTCTAATAGTGTTTAAACTAGCTAATAGTGTATTTAATAGTATTACTGTCCTTTCTATAGCTGAATGTGTCAATTTCCCTGTCTATTGAGCTTACCTGTATTTCTGGTATTATATTTACCTTTTGTATTGAAATAAATACAGGAATTCTTTTGACCTGAAACACATTTCCACTGCCTTTTTCATTTCATGTTCACTAAGTAAGTCCAGTGTCTAGAATCAGGGATCAGGGGGTGATTCAAGCCACCTAAAATCAGCAACTCACTGAGCACAAATCAGAACCCTAATGGGCATATTTACGCGCTGCATTAGTTGAAGTCCTGGATGCATACACTATTGGGCGTTCCTCTCCATTGGACCACCTATGAGCTAATGCTACCCTGATGTCATATGGGGAGGCATCGCATGTCAATGCCAGATCTTGCTTGGGATCACAGTTATTTCTTCATTTCACTGAAAGCTTTGGATTGGCTATGTGACCATTTCCAAGGCTGACCCTAAAAGAGTTGATGCAAAGGTGCCAGGATAGAGGCCAGGTTATGTACAAACTTCCTGTAACAATTTACCAGCCTTGAAATGACCAAAATTCCTGGACAGACATAGGAGCCAGGGTACAGTTTCACTTCATCTTCCAATGGGTGTAACCAAGTCTCGTCGACACTGTAGCCCAAGTAGGTCACTTTGGGGCCTTAAACACACATTTTTCCCTTCTAGGTGTATGCCCACCTCAGAAAAATGTCTAAGGACTATGTCCAAGTTTTCTAATTGTTCCTTATTAGTCATAGAATTATAGAATCCTTACAGTGTGGAAACAGGCCCTTCGGCCCAACAAGTCCACACTGAACCTCAGAGCATCCCACCCAGACCCGTCCCCCTATAACCCACCTAATCTACACATCCCTGAACACTACGGGCAATTTAGCATGGCCAATCCACCGAGCCTGCACATCTTTGGACTGTGGCAGGAAATCGGAGCACCCAGAGGAAACCCACACAGACACGGGGAGAATGTGCAAACTCCACACAGTCATCTGACTGAACCCAGGTCCCTGGCGCTGTGAAACAGCAGTGCTAACCACTGTACCACCGTGCCTTTTATTCTTCCCTTTTTTTAGCATGTCACCAAAATAAATGGTGACCTGAGGTAGACCTTTTAAAATGTTATCCATCGTCTGCTGAAAAATTGAACAGAGTGACATAGCCCAACTGGCAGCCTCGAATATTGGTACAAGCCCCTATTGGCATTAATTGTAGCATACTTCTGGGAATTCTCATCCAAATGCAATTGCAAGTAAGTGTGGCTCACATCCACCTTCCCATAGGACGGCCCCATCACCCCACCAATATTGTAAATAAATCCTCTATCCAAGGGACTGGGTAATTATCCAGCTGTGAAAAGAGGTTTACCATTTGTTTAAAATCCCCACAAAGGTGAACTGACCCATTGGGCTTCAAAATTGGTCTGACTGGTGCTGCTTATCCACAAATTGGACCAGTTTGATCATTCTTTCAATTTCCAGCCTTCTGATTTCTGCCTCTACTTTTGTCTGTGGGGCAAATGGCACTGGGCAGCTCATACAGAATTGTGGGATTTCTTGCTGGTAAACATGCAAGGTAGCTTTGGCTCCTCTGATACTTCTGAGATCTTCCTGAAAGACCTCTGGATATTTCATTGGGGCTCGACTCAGGCAGCTATTTTCTAATTGAAAAATGTTGAGCCAATCTAGATGAATCTCTTTCAACCAATTTCATCCGATTAAGTTTGGGCCCAAGCCTTCTACTACAATCAATGTTAATTGAACTAGTTGCATTTTATAAGAGACTGGAACTGAAGTTTTACTGTTAAGCTGTAAAAGTTCCCTGGTATTTGTTCTCAGCCTGGTCAAGGTCTTGCACAAATTTAGGGGTTGTTACATTTTGTTAAAAACTGGTTCTGTGATCACTGATACAGTCACACAAGTATTGACCTCCATTAGAATTGAATGGCCATTTAACCAGACATTTATTTTGACTGGTTCTGATTTGCCTGTTGCTAAGCAATTTAACTGTTCCAAACCAGATGTAGGTGGGATTTCCAGGATGTGTACTCTCCTGGATACCAGCCTATGAGTTCTCTCACTCAATTTAGATCTAGTAGGACTTTTTTGGTGTCTCATGTCCACAAGCCAGCAGCCATACAATGACTTGCCAGCCAAGATTCTGAAGAAAATTTTAACCGTTTGGCTGAGCCTTGGCTTTGTTTTGGGGTTTTGCTGTGGGCTGACCTGGAGTCCCTTCGATCAAAATATGGCCTGAGTGAGGCGATACAATTGCCTGTCCTTAAGTGATGTTTCGCAAGTTCAATTGGACGGATGAGGATGCCCATTTCCATCAGAATACCCTGCAACTTATATGCTCCACATGCCATATTTTTCAATGATATAAACAGTTGTAGTGCCTGTTTGAAGTCTTGTTGGGCTTCAGTGAGCTTTTGCATGGTTATATCATTAATCCCACATACCAACCGGTCTCTAAGCATCTAATTAAGGAATAAGCCAAAGTCACATGCCTCTGTCAGTTGTCGTAACCTAGTCAAAATTCCCGACACAGATTCCCCATGTCCTCAAATTGCCAAGTTGAAATGATACATCTCAGAATTATGGCTTGGGGTCATAGTATTCCTTAACTAAGTCCATCAACACTTGAAAGCTTTTAGTATCTGGTGCTTTATGGAAGCTTAGACACCTAATAACAGAAAATGCTGCAGGTCTGCAGGCTTTCAGGACAATCGTTTGTTGCTTTTCATCAGAATCTCTGACACTCCTCTTTTTATTGTTCAGTCAGGGCTCCCTGCTTGGACCAAATTAACAGCCTCAATCATGGAACTCATATTCTATGAAACCCAGTTGGCTGACTTTGTTACAATCACTATAACTGCAACATCTAAATTAGTTCATCTTTTTGAATAGGTTTATTGTCACATGTCTTCAAGTTGTAAAAGAACAGCAGTGTACAATGTCACTAATAATTGGCGTCATCTTAGGTACAAAGTACCTAGGTACAAATCTTAGGTACAAAAATAAGGAAAATAAAGAAAAAAATTACACTACCTACAGGTATACATCATATAAGTTTTCCACAATTCATTCAAGACTTACGGCTTGGGGCCTGCTGGTTGCCATCCCCACTTCTCTTTGGGCCCACTGGCTGTCCCCAGTTTGGGGCTTGTTGGCCATCCCTGCTTCGCTCCAGGCAGTTGGAAGAAGAGGGAAAAGACAAAAGAGAAAAAAAAATACAATAGAGAGAAATAAAAAATAAAAAAGAAGAAAAGATTAGGAAAGGACTGAGCAGTCGAGTTCCAGCTGGAGTGTTCTACTCCATTGACGTCTCTTAGTAGATCTTGTGAAAGGAGTGATTGATATGATGCAGTTGGGTTAAAAGGAGGTTGGAAATGATCAGAAAGTCAACTAAATGTCAGGATGCTGTGGTTGGAAATAGCAGGCAACAAAGCATAGACAATACTTAAATTCTTAAGAACAGTTATTGGATCCGAAATGTTAACTCTGTTTCTCTCTCCTCATGTGTTGACGGACCTGCTGAGTTTCTCAAGCAATTTCAGTTTTTATTTCAGTTTTCCATCGTCACAGTATTTGATTTTATAAAGCAAGGGCCAGAGCTTTGAAGTAAATATGTAAAGATTTATTATTACATCTGCCTCCTGAAATTTTTATTGAGCCATTCTGAAAAAAAAGAAACAATTTACTATTGAAGATTTTTTTTAACAAGTAACATTTTGTCAGAAATAACAAGTTCTCACAACCCTTTGAGAATGCTTGCTTTGTGGAAATAATTAGATTGCAAAGCTCTTTTCAAGCTATTCTTCTGGCTCTGACAGTGATTACTCACAGTTTAAAACCTCATTTTTGAAAGATTACACATTTTTCAAAAGAATATTGCATCGATTTTTTATCATGCAGCAGAGATGGTGGCTTGAATACCACAGGTTTGGTGAATCTCACAATCCTGCTGAACAACACTGACATCAAATTGCTGTAGTAGAGGGAAACATTGACATTTAAATATAATGAGCATTAAGGACGAGCAGTGCTGATTTGTTTTGGTTAAAACAAAAGGGCCAAAACTGCCAAATGGTTAGATTTGATCTGGAGTCATTTGATTCTCTGCTACCTGTCTCATAACTTCAATAAACCACTGCACATGATCAGTCTCTTCAAATGTTTTGCTGTACAAACAGCTGTTAGATCACATGGTTTCTTATTGAATATCAGAATTGACTGGTGCAGTGTTTCTATGCAACAAGTCAAATATTTCACTATGTGATAGTCGATTTATTCCATTTTGTACTGTAGGGATTCCAGACTCCCATTGTCGTGCAGTGCAAGGCAAGCGCATCTGCTGGTTAGGCACAGTATCAACACTTCTCTATGATCAAATTTTCATGACATTTTCAGCAGTATTTTCTTAGTTTAAATAATTAATATAGAGAAATTGATAAACTATGAGTTTATATTTTGAATATTCAAAGGTTGAGGTCTTAGCTTCTACTAGGCCATAAAGGCAAAATTTGCATTGAATTGAAGCACATACCCTTACCTTAACAAAATGCATCTTACTGCTTTCCATAAGTAAGTTCTCGGCATTTAGTGATTTATTCGCAACAGTTATGTGCAACGAACATTGCACAATGGACTGATATATTTCACAACAAATCCACAAATATATTATGAAACTAATCTTGGTAGTAATAAAGTTTAATGATTTTCTGTACAAGCAAGTTCAGAATATTGGAGACTATTGAACTCTTGTGTTGCTTTCCTACACACAGAATTACCAATCTCATATTGGATGAACAAGTATGATTTACTTGAAAATCTCAAGTGTATTTATTTAACAGATAAACTGATAAGTTGCAGTACAGAGCCAGTTATGTACACTTCTTTAGTCTATACGCTGCTGCTTGGACTTCTTATGGCTGTAGGTCAATATGGTGCCATCCTTGTCCTTGGCTTATTACCATACTCAGCTGATAAAACAGTAACATAAGAGAGAGCACATGGTAAATTTTCATATTGTCACCTTTGAAATTGTCTGTCTATTATAAAGCTAATTTAATTTTACTTTTTAATGAAATTTGAGCTTGGATAGTTCCTCTAATAGGCCACCAATACGCATTGTGGAAGACTATTCTCCCCAAATATGTATTAAATTGCACAAATTCATTCAATTGTGTTCATTCAAATCTGAGCACATACTGATCACCACTACTTAAACTGTTCCTATTATCCTACAACCCCTTTTCCACCTCTCCAGTCTTTTATCCCCTTTCCAGAACCAAATCTCATCTGTCATTCTCCAAATCAAAGCTACTTTGTATTGGACCCAGCAAGAAACAATAATACCAAATCTATGAGAAAGAACTGCATCTAGATTCAACCATCTTCAGCTGCTTCATCAATGACATTTCCTCCAATATAAAGTCAAAAGTGGTTCACTGGTGATTGCACAGTTTCAATATCATGCTCAACTGCTCAGGTTTTGAAGCAGTTCATGACTTAGTGAAACAAGCTAAACACCACACACTACATACTAAGATTTTACCTGTCCCTAGTGTTACAAAGGATAGGTTTGGTTCATTGTCATGGAATTCTTCAAGTACATGGGCTATTCCGCTTCACCTGTCCCTCATGGAAACATTTGTCAGCAAGAACATCTTTGACCACAAGTCAACCAGGTAATGGTCAGTGCATATTGTCCTCAAGAACCTGTGGGAAAAGGAGACAAATAATCCTGTTGGGTCCTTCCCTGAGCAGTCTGTCAAAGTCATTTGGCAGAATGCCTCATTGCCAGAACTTTCCAAAAAGCACCAACATAAAGCTTGACTGGTGGTGAGAAGAGAGATTGAGGTGAGATCTTTCATACATACCTGGACTGTCTCTGCTACTACACATTGCCCTCAAATCAGCTGCAGGGTAGGCAGACTGTCACACATCTCCTTCTGGAATGTGTCTTTGCAAAGGAAGTCTGGAGAAAGATGCAGTGGTTTTGTCGGGCTCATCCCAAACAGCTCTGTGATGCAGGACTCTGTGCTCAATTGTCTGTTCCCTGGAACGCACACCAAGACAAACATCGACTATGCTTGGAAGACAGTCAACTCAGTGAAAGATGCTCTTTGGTCTCCCCCAAACTTGTTGGTTTTCTGGTGCAAAGAGTTAACCTTGACCGAGTGTTGCAGACTAGTACATTCCAATGTCCAGGACTACGAGCTGAGGGTCACACTAAAGGTCAGCAGTGAGCTCAGCTGCTTCCAAGGCATAGTGAGGAAGGACCACTGTCCAAGGTCTTTCTGCCAAAGTATAATGGGGGTCGATGAGTTGTCAGACCCTCTCATTGGCTCCAATATATGAAAATAATGTCCGGTATAAGAAATACTTTTGGTTTTTGCAACTGCTGGAAATGTCAGATTCCAATGTCTGTTTTTCTTGATATCCAGGGACAGAAATGCTTTAGTACCTGTAGGTACATAAAGATTTTTTATGAATAAAGTATATTTTTGCAATTAAAACACAGGAAAACATTCAGACTCAAGCTTATAAGTGGTAAGAAATAATGACACCACACAGTGGTAGGCAATGAACATGTACAAGAGAGAATGTAACCATTCAATTACATTACCAACAAATCCACCTTTACCAACAAAATCCTGCCATTGATCAAGAACTTAACTGGTCCAGATGCATAAGTACCGTGGCTACGTCTACAACAGTATGGATCTAAAAATGCTTGATTTCGTCTGATCTCAGAAGCAACACTCTTTCTAAGCTGAATGGCTGTGTGAGCACAGAGTTGCTCTGCAAGATGCTGCTGTGAATGGACCTTGGGGGGCCCATGCAGCCAGAAAGGCAGTTAGAGGGAGTGCTGCTCAGAAGGTCTTAGGCCTGTTTAGTACTTGGATGGGAGACCACCTGGAATATCAGGTGCAGTAGGCTTAAGGGATGCAGTGTGGCTGAGTGGTTAAGGAATTACGTTAGAAATCTATCTTCCCATATAGGTTTGAACCCTGCTGATTACAAATCTCACAATTCCTAAACATCAAGAATTAATTATGATCCAAGTGGGATAGCAATGATCAAAATAGTATAGCTACATAATTGGTCAGAAATTGGGGATTCTGTGGCAAGTAACTTACCATCTGACTCTTCAAAGCTGGTCATAAATATCTAAGAGATAAGAGCATGGGTAAGCCATTTGACATTCAGGCCTGGATCCCCTCCTCTCATTCAACAAGATCATGGCTGATCTGCCCCAAAACCTCAACTTTGCTTTTGTGTCAGCTCTTCATCACCATCAACTCCTTGATATATCCTCTCTAAATACTTCCACTGACCCAGCTTCCACCACTCTCTGGGGAAGAGAATTCCAGACATTCACTTCCCTTTAGGAGAAGAAATTCCTTAGCATCTCAGTTTTAAATGTGTGCCCCCTTATTCTGTAACCATGTACCCTGGTTTGAGATTCCCCCACTAATGGAAACATCTTCTCAACATCTAGCCTGTCAAACTCCATCAGAATCTTGAGGTTTCAAAAGATTACCTCATATTCTTTTAAACTCTAATGAATAAAGGCCTAATGTGTTTAGTCATTTTGATAAGTCAACCCCTTCATGCCAGGAATCATCCTCCACCGCCTCTTAAATACAGGTACCAAAACTGTACACAGTACTCCAGGTGTTGTCTCACCAACACCCTGTTCAGTTGGAACAAGTCTTCCATGTTTTTAAACTCCAGCCCCTTATCAATTAAGGCCAAAGTTCCATTTACCTTCTTAATTACGTTTTGTGCTTGCATGTTAACTTATTGTGTTTCATGCACAAGAACACTGAGATCCTTTGTTTCTGCAAAAAAGTACAGCCAATTAAACATTAGCATCCTTTTTGATTCTTCCTTGCCAAAATGCATGGCACACACTTTACTACATTAAACTCCATCTGCCAAGTTTGTGTCTGCTCGCTCAATCTACCTACATAACATTACAGATTCCTTATGTCCTCATCACAATATGTCCTCCCACCTATTTTTGTACTGTCAACAAATTTGGAACATTTCATTCTGCTCCCTCCTTCAACTTATTTTTATAGATTGGAAATAATAGAAGACTTTGGGCACTTCACTTGCTACATGTTTCCAAGCAGAAAATCCAGACTCTCTTTCCTCTGTGAGTTAACCAATCCTCAAACAATGCCTGTAAATCACCCTCAATACTGTGAGCTCCTTTCTTTTGCAATAATCTGTTTTTTTTGTGGCATCTTATCAAATGCTTTCTATCCAAAGTATACAAGGTGCAAGTCAGATGATTAATGGAATATTCTACTTGCCTGGATGAGCACAGCTCCAACAATACTCAAGGTAATCAACTCTTTTCTGAAAACCAATTCCAGCACCACCTCCTAAAAGATTAATTGCACAAACTTGGCCTCCAAGCTGAAATGTACAGCCACCCAGAATTATGTTTAGAACTGGCCACATGCAATTATCATGCAAATTAAAATGCAGTAAGGGATTTGATGCTGCCTGCATTGTATGCAACATATTATTTACTCATTACAATATCCAAGCCCATTTTTGAATCCAATTTTGCTGCCTAACTATTTTATATTTTGACCAAATAGTTCTTAATATTTTCACTCCTCTTTGCTGATGACGCACCTCAACTCAGCCTAGTGCTCCTACTTAAAGACCATCACAACAAATGTGGAAGCCATTATAGACAGTGCAACTGAACAAATATAGTAAAATCACAATAGGTCGAATTGCAGGAGATCCTCCCCAAGTTCATTTCAAGCAGAGTATTGAGATAGTCAAGCTGACCCCTATGTAACCAGGTCTGTCTACAAACATGCTCTGTTGTGTTATGGCATAGATTCTAAGCCAGAGGGGCTGAAACCTTTAAAACATTTGTATGACATTGTGACATGTAATGTTTTGGTATAAAGACATCCAACTCATCTTCAATCATCCTTTGTGTAATGGAATCAACTGATTGTTTATGTGTGTAATGTACTGTAATATCAGTAAGCAGAGAACCCAAACTATGTGTGTAAATCTGTGCTATCATAACCTTGTAAATAGTTACTGTTGTAAATAAACTTCAAGCTATCTGGCTTTCCAGAATCTGCCTACCTGTGGCATAATCTAGGTTTGGCTAACATATAATAAAACCACAAACAGCTTTATATGTCAAAAACAAATCCCAAACAAAAACACAGTCAAGCAGTAAGTATTCAAAAAATATATTACTATTTTCAATTTGCTTACACTATGTAATGACCAGACCTTGTAAAATGGATTGAAAAATATTGGCAGTTAGGTCCAGAAATCTTCAATAATTCTTTTGTGCTTGGTGTGCTGACTTTGGAGAATGTGACAGCACACCTCTCTGTTAACTTAATCAAACATGTTTTCCATGTTCTCATGCTATAGGACAAAATCCTGGCGCAGCTCCAGGATCTTTGTGAATTCAGCTTGTGAAACAGGCAGCTGAGCGGTGGGCATTTATTCTACTCTTCAGGGTCATCAGCCTTTCCATTGCCTGCTTAAACTGTTGCATTCTCACTGCTTACCATGCGGAAGATGATGTCGTGCCTTGTCTTAAATTGGTCCAGTCATCCAGCGCTTGAGGCCCAGTCCCTTGACCAAGGTGAGTCCCCTTTCCTTCAGTATTGGTCTGGAGAGGAAGTATTCTCTGCTCAAACTACTTTGAACTAGGTTAGCACAGCTTCTCAATCATTGGAATTGGCACCCACTCTCATTCTTTTCCTCACTGGAGTGAATGCTTGGTTGTTTAACTGTTTGAAAATGATTGTCTTGTTTTTCAGTATGGTTGATAAACATAATGATGAAGTCTCCCACTTGGTCATATCCACTTTTCACCTTGTGCCACCGTTTTTTAATTGCTGTATGAACTTCACTTTCTCTCTGATTGCCAACACTTTAAACTCTCTCACAGATGCCATATCTGCAGGATTCAAATGTCTTTTCACAGGAGATCCTGATTTCCAATGATGGCTCACTCATCTGTAATTCTGTGCTCTGGCCTGGCCTAACTCTGCTCTGATCGATTGGTGTGTTCATATGGCAAGCTTGTCTGAGTCTGCTAATCTGGAGTTACCATTTCAGGCATTGTGGTTTATCATGCTCATCATTCTATTTAAGTTGCTATTCTGCCAGCAGCAATGTCTGATGACTTCAACACAACTGGAATTTTAATATGATTCATCACAATTTAACTGTACAGCATTTTATCCCTCTGTGGCTCAGCATATTGGTGTACGCCATGTGCTAATAAGTCGTGTTTTCTCAATAAAGTTTTGGGAGAATGCAGTGAAGACAGGATTTACAATTAACAGTCTGGCATCACACAATTAAACTTCTGTAGTCAAAAGACGTGCAGCATTGAATTCATTGCCAGTGTATAACACCCTGTTCTTAAATTGTGCCCCTTAGTTTTACTTGATGTGCTGTATCCAGCAATTCAGTGTGAACTTGTTAGAATGATTCAAGCATCGCTCTATTCCTTAGCAATGAACATCGGCCTATTGCTTAACCTTGTGGTGGCATTTTTGTACCACTTTTAAAGTTTATTTGCTTATCACAAAACTAGTAAGAGTTTAAAAAATCACTATTTGAAGCTGTCATTTGACTTCAGAACATTTGTCTTTGTAGGTTTGCAGAATATTATTTTTCTGAACAATTTATAGAATCACAGGGTGTGATTTTCTATTTTTGAGACTAAGTGTGGGGGCAGCATTTTGGGTGACAACTAACACTGCAACCCACTGCTGAGATAACTCAAAATATTACACACCTATTAGCTTGTTAATAGCTGATAGATAGAGCTTAGCTTGTGTCTCTTAGCTTATTACAGGCCTCAAAATTGGTATCCCTGGTCACCAGAAGCTGCCAGCCAATCAGCAATTGTCATTTTCTGGGACCTAAGGCAGTCCATCAAGGCCTATTCCTCAGACGATGCAACAGCGAAAATGCAAATGCTTTTCTTTTCTTCATTTCATGGGCTGGGAATTGCAATGAGGGAGAGGTATCAAAGACATAGGTGGTGAGGGGAGATTGCTTTATCAATGACCATATCAATGACCTCCCCTAGCTTCCTAATCAGGAAACTAGACACTTTTTCCAGCTACCAGGAAGGCAGGATTTGAGGCCTTTAAATGGCCATTAGCCATTGGTCACTTAAGGGCCTTAATTGATAATGGGTCATGAAATTAATCCCCAGTGAAACTTCTTGCCCAGAACCTAATTGGTGAATCTCTTACCAGGGCCAACTTGCCAAATTATTTCTGCTGTTCGCCACCCCTCTTGCTACTTCCAGTGAGAGATACATTTTCATCCATCTGATAGGTACAGTAGAAGACAGCATTCAATTTACTGGAGATAGCAAGAACTGCAGATGCTGCAGTCAGAGTCAATACAGAGGAACACAGCAGGTCATCAAA